CACAGTGCGGAAAAGTTCATCTTACGGATGTAAGACATTTTATTTTCACTATTTTTAAACAATTACATTAAGTGACAATTCCGTGATTGTCTATCTTTTGTCAAAGATCTCCATTTAGTATGTGATATGTTTAACAATGCCTTCTTTAAACATGCGTTGCCATTCGCTTCCGTTTGGATATTCAAATTTCGCGATAACATCTTTTTTCAGCTCAGTGCTGTAACCGGGGGCTGTTGGTGGCATGTAATGTGCATTTTTCACATTAGTTGGATAGACAAACTGGTCGTGCTGTTGATCTACATATTCAACATATCTATCAGTTTTGGTGCAAGAGACTGAGGTAAAGTCCCACATTTGCAAATGCTGAACCATCTCACACAAACCAACACCACCTGCATGTGGTACCACTTTCACTGCAACGAAAAACAATCATTAAAAATCGATATAAAATGACACTGAAAGATAAAAAAGAAAAGTGAAAAAACGCGCTCACCTCCAAATTTCTTACACATGAAATACACCGATAATATTTCATTAACGCCACCAACGCGAGCGGAATCGATTTGGCAAAATTCCAAAGCATTTGCTTGCAAGAATTGCTTAAACATGATTCGATTCATGCACATTTCACCCGAAGCAACGCCAATACCAAGCGGTTTGAGTGCTTTGGCAATCGTAGCATGACCTAAGGCATCATCCGGTGATGTTGGCTCTTCAATCCACCATATTTTGAAATCGGCCAACTTTTTCATCCATTCAATCGCCTCATTCACATCCCAAATTTGATTTGCATCGACCATCTGACAAATAATTGAAACTTTATGTCAAAAACAGTTAATAGATACCTTTTCCACACTAGGTGTGCGGAAAAGTCAATCAACAACAATCATTTGACACGATCGAATACCAATTTATTGTCCCATCCGATTTCTTCACGAACTAAACGGCATCGATGACGGTCGTCTTCCAAATTTTGTCCAACTTTCAATTTGAATGCATTAAATCCTTGGGCTAAATACTCTTTGCACAATTGACGACGGTAATCGTCGGTGTAACCGAGCCAACCTGTGGAATGCATTGACATATTTGTACTTTTTTGCCTTTTGTTAAATAAACAAAGGTATCGTATTGAATGAATCGATGTTATCACCAAAACCATATAGTAATATTCAAAGAATTGGCTTCTGAAAACATTTACTGCGTTCCTAAAAAAAACTTACCAATTTGTGTCGTATAGCACGGGTAGCCGTCTTTAAGTAGCTCATCAATTCGCTCTTGCTTGAATTTTTGACCTTGTTTTAAAATTTCAACAGCTTCCGCTGGTGTGATCACATCAGTCAAGTATCGGAAGTCAATCGTTGAAACTAGCAACTGAAATTTTGTACAAAAGATATGTAAGTTTTCGAGCATTTGTTTAAATTATTAGCTATATGAAGTGGGTAGAATAGACGTATCTTACCTCTGGATCCATGTCTGTCAAAAGACGCCAGAGTGGTTTATTTTCCAATTTCGCCCATAAATCCCATAATGCATTGATGACAGCAGCAACGGCCAAATGCATAACTCCTTTCTCTGGTCCGATCTAATTGAAATATAGTAGAGTTTGCCTTCGTTTATTCAAATTTCAAGTTCACATACATTACGGCACACAATGTCTATTAGATTCGAATCGGTATTGAAAATGTCTGTTTTAATTTCAAACTTTGCCCATTTTTCGCATACTATGTGCGCTTATGTTTATACAAAAATCGTCTTTAATTTCAATAAACAGCGAACGAATTAAATAAAGAGAAAAAAACTTGATTGACTTTGTCAGTTGACTGATTTCATCTTGTTTGTCAACATTGACGTCATTATCACTTGAATAAATAAATAGCTTTCCCACACTGTGTGTGTACGGAAAAGTAAAATTCTTACCCATCTAATTTGAGTTTCGCTGGTAATTTCACGCCAGAATTTGTCGAATCGTGCATAGATATCATCGCGCAATCGACGCCCCACAATAAGTGTGCTCAACGCTCTAATTCCCATTTGAACAATTTCATTGCCACGGCCCAAAGTGAATGTCAATCCATAGCCTTCAATCGTTTCATTTGTTTTGATCGTTACATAAACACACGAATAATCGGGGTCGGTGTGCTGAAATGGTGTTGGGGAAATTAAACCGCTCTCTTTCAACAATATTTATAATTTTAAATTACATAAAATAAACCGATTTTTTTCAGAAATATTTACTCAAGTTTAATTGTAGATTTTATGGGAAATTTTTTAGAAAATAAAATGAAAATTTTACGGTAAATTTAAATGAAAAAAGCGTTACATTTTTTCAGTTAAAATTTCCAAAAAAATCGTTACGTGTGCGGATAGGGTTGTGAACAAGTCACAGTCAATTTTGAAAATAATTACCATCGCATCAGATCCATGTCCTCCCAACGAAGTAGGCCATCGCATATCTTTTGCATCAATGGAAATAATTTTCAAGTTTTCGTCGATGTTTGCTAATGCCATTTTTCGAAAAATAAACACTGAACCACTCAAATCAACTGAATTCTTAAAATTTGACCAATTTTCGTTTTGTAAAAATCAAAACAACCTCAGCGGTTGATGTAAAGCAAATGAAAGTAGTTCTAACAATAACGAAATTTTTATTTAATTTGTTATTTTATTTCGAGTGTTTACTCAAAACTGTGCTGATATAGCACGCACACACACACACAAGATTATTGTATTTAAACAAGATTATTAACAAGTAAATATTCTTTATCAATGTTGACATTTATTTTGATAACAGAAACAGGCGCAGAAAAATATTTTCTTCACAACAAGTGTTTGTTTCTCTTTTATTTGTTCAAATTGTGTGGAGACGCACAGATTAATATTCGATACTGAATAAAAATTAAAAACAAAGTGCATCGTTGAATTTATTCAAAGTCTATGAGTCAAAGATTTAATATCGAATATTTTGAAAAACCATAAGCCAAAACTAGAATTGAATAAACTTCTTCTTCAATTGTGAAATAAATATGTCCATAATATACGTTCATTTTAATCCTCCTAGGTATTATTAAATTATTGAATGAACTGTTGTAAAATCCTTGTTGTTCTTCGCTTTATATTGATTTTACTATTACATTGAAGTATTGAATTCCCAGTTGTGATTGCTTATGATGGTGCGTTAGACGCTCCGAAAGCAAGTAGTAATTGGAATGTGATGATGCAGTTTCATACGGACGCTTTTTGGTGCAGTTCGTACACATTACAATTCTTTCGGAATGTTCTCCACAAACATTTTTCATAAATTTGCTACACTGTGTTTGCGTCTTTCGATTGATTTTAGTGGGACATAAATGACGTGCACTTTTTTTATCTTGTTTGGTTTGCGTTGTTGAAGTGGACGTTGCTGTTGAACTGTGCTGAGTACAGCTCGATGTGCTTCATTAAATCCATAAGTGGATCTGCGTGCTATTTGATCATACACCAATGCTTCCGATAATTCGATCAAAAATTTCTTGCGTTGAAATGAATACCGATCTCGTGTAATTCCATGTATTGCATTATAAACAATGAACGCATCGAATCCACAATGTGGAGGCCACATACATTGATCATCTCCATGAAGGAAGGCCAACGATTTGTGCCTCGTTGACATGAATAGCTATGACACAGTTGATCTAACTGATCAACGCCACCTTTTGTGCTGTTATAAAATGTGTTGATTTCAGCTTCAGAAACCACACTTTTGATCGACAGCGCACGAATCATGTCTGTGTGTCACACTTTCTTTCTTTTTTATTCTTTGCTACATTGCTGAATCTACTCTATATGCACCGTTTTATAACGCAAAATTCAGAATGTGCACTGTTGACAGTTTTGAATTGTTTTATTTTTTACTGTTTATATGAGGTTTCCATGCATTTTGTATGGGCGCTCCAATGGACCGCCACTATACGTTCTAGGTGAGATTTGGTTTTATCAAATGTCCACAACATATACAATTATTTTATGATAAAAACAATATGTACAAATTGTACATGAATTATAAACTTCTATACGAATAATCTGCCCGAGAAATTTTGATTTTTTTAAATTTACTTCGATTGTTATTCAATTTTTTCAAAACCGCCTCTATACCTGGGAGGGTTAAAGAAAAAGATAGAAAACGAAAAAAAATCATTCATTCAATTTTTTAATAGATCTAAATCGACGCTGCATTTCTGTTCATAAATTGTGAATTGTGAACGATAAGAAAAGTGAGAAGGTTAAATGAAGAAGCACATCGGATTTGTGAGTTGTTTCTAGATAGGCTTTAAAAATGAAATCTAAAAATAAAACAAAGAAATGAGATTTTTGAGAATATTTATTTTGATTTATCATTTATTAACCAACGACATCGACAAAAAAATTGATTCTATTGAATGTCACACTCTACAACTATTGTGAGATAAATCTAAATTTGAATTTATTTTGAAAGAGAACAAGGAATTACTTATAATTCACAGGAATCAAAATTTGAAGATGAGAATCCTATTATTCTTTTTGGAGAAAAAACCAAACTACATTTTTAACAAACATCTAAAGAAATTCAATGACAATCAATTATATCAACATTTGAAATAAAAGTGCAAATATTTCTCATTAAATTGAAGAAATTTTAAATATTATGTGAAAATTGTATTCAATAATCAGATTCACATTCACACCAATCCTCTCGTCTCATTTCGATGAATCTCAAATTGGTGTCACAATTTTTGGTCGTCCATTTTGTACGCGTACTAATTATTATTTTTCGTGCTCCGACCAACTTGGCACGCACTGCATTCAACAATGCCCAATTCAAAACTACACCTCCATTTCGTGGTATGAATTTGATTTTGTTCATATTCGGTGATCGACGAATGAATGGCATAATTTCATCGATGCCAGCCTTATCAATGTAAAGATGTTCGAGTTTTGTCAGGCTCAAGCGGACCGTCTTATGAAGCATTAAAATGCGGAAGCCCTTCATTTGCGCCATCTCTCATTCCATAGTTCAACTCAATGTTGTTTTTTCTCCTCTTCTTCGTTTCAATGCTACAGAACTAAATCAAGTTCACTGACATAATTAGAGATGGCGCGGATAAAAAGTTCCCGTAAAAATAGCTCTCCAATCTTAAACAAATATACACCGGTTGGTCAGGCCATTTGCCAAAATCTCCATATCCTTGGCTTCCGATCCATCCAAAATGATTGGTTCTTTCAGATTGTTCAATGAAGTCATACAATAACTGTGCCCGAATAACGCAATGCACAATAATTCGAGACCTTCTAGGGGCAGAACAGCACTAGAATAATCATTTTTGTTTAAAGTAATTCTATGTTGTGAGTAGTAAATATAAAATTTTCGTTTTTTTTTAAATATTTTATATTATATTTTTTTATATATTTCACTCCCAGAATGTAATTTTGTTGTGAAAATAATAGCCTGTGCAAAGTTTCACGTCATTACGATGTCATACAGGCTTATCTCCCTTTGTATGAAAAATGTGTTAACCATTGATCGTATCGCAAAAATACCGCCAGATTCGATTTTCTCGCACCAAGAAATCCCCCACTACGTATTTTTTTCATAATTTTTTTAGGAAATAGAAATCGTTTAAAATACACCAAAATGGGTCCATCGAGGTATCTTAAGATTCCTAATGAATTTGTAGCGTCATGAATTCCTACTTTAACAAACCAATGGTCCATATCGTGTTTTTAGGCCTCAAATATGCTAAAACCGGCCTGGAATGTTAAAAATTAAATACTTTTTTTTGGGCCACCCTAACGCTTAATTTGAATATTTTCGGCGGAGATTCGTCGTTTGATGGACCCACAACTTCGTCTTCATTATGGTTATCTGGGTGAGAAAATTTCAGCTTTTCTTGCAGATGACTCATAGCGAAACTACATAAGAATAGAACAACAAAATGCTAATTGGTATTTGTGAAACTAACACTTTGATGTCATTTACACGATTTTTTTAAATGACAATTTAAACTTTTATTGGATGCTTAGAAGGAAAGAATGAGCACGAATTGTATTTACCTTTTATAAGATCTCAAAACCATTTTTTTGTTGTTTATACGCAGAAATAATCAACAGAGATAATGACAATCGGACACATATAGCTTTGACGTTTGTTTAACTTCAATTTGACTTTTTCAGTCGTTTTCTCCTGTTTTTCTCCACTTGCATCATTTCCACTCGTTTCAAACATTTTCCGTTGAATCTATGAAACTGATGGCAGATATAATGTGAATAATTGTCGATAAAAATGAATACTACATGATTCATTTCCAAATTGATGAATTCGTGTATTCTTTATTTCTGATACTCAATGAAATGCATTTCCCGAAATTTATTTTTCTTAAGCTACGTTATTATACAAAATCAGACATTGATCACCATTTGAAACAATTTCATCACTAAAGTGTATTCTGTACTGTACTTTGAATTACATTTTTAAAGGCGCTGATGAGGACTTTTACGATTTGATTTCTGTTTAGTAAATTTTTGTTACTTAGACTATAATCGATTAGAATCAATTTGCCGGTACTTTTTTAGTTCCTAAATTAAAAAAGTATTGTGAAATATGTAAATTTTAAGACAAAACTCTTGCTTTTTCCCAAAAATAAATGTGAAAAGATTTTAAATTCATATGGAATATTGATTGATTTGAATAAACATTTCCCATTCTGAAAATTCTATTTAATAATTCGGATTCCAAACATACGAATCCTCTCGTCTCATTTCGATGAATCTCAAATTCATATCACCGTTTCTGGTCTTCCATTTAGTATCCAAAAAGACGTCATCACGCGTATAAATTGTTATTTTTCGTGCTCTGGCCAACTTGGCACGTTCCTTGTTCAACATTGCTAAATTCAAAGCTCCACATATTTTGCTTTTTAAGTACAACACTTTGATTTTGTTCAATTTCGGTGATCGACGAATGAATGGCATAATATCATCGATGTTAGCCCTACCAATGTAAAGATGTTCAAGTTTTGTCAGGCTATTTGCTAAAACCTCCATATCCTCCGTGACTTTCAATCCCATATAGAAGATTAATTCTTTTAGATTGGTCAATTGAGCTAAATTACAACTCTTGTCCAACCATCGCGTACACAATAATTCGAGACCTTTGACCGATGCTATTGAAGTGATCATTTTTTCATCAGCTTCATCGATGTAAATGTATAGTCGTTTATAAAAGCCTTGCTTATGGAGTCGATTTAATAATTCACAAAGATTTTTCGATGTCTGCTTCTCATTTGACGGAGACTCCATAAACACATCAAATTCTCTGACTTCCAATATATCCAATTTTGCGTTAGATTTTGAAAATATGTCTGCGTTGTTGGGTTTGTCTATAACATCATTTATGTTGGAATAACGCATGTGAATACTGAATACCATTGTCTGCGCAGTATTTTTGTGAAGATGAATGATTTTGTTTGAAATATTCGCCAGCCACTTTGTTCATTCGCTTGCATGTTTGACCGAATGAATACAAGTCTTTCACGTTCAAATATTCAAATATTTCGTCACATGGCCTGGAAATGCCTATGTAATTTACATATAAACGAGTGAGACTCAAACATGTTCTTCTTTTTCCATCAAATATACCAGTGGCGCCACCAATTTTACATATAAGCGCATACAAAATTTTCAATATGGCTGCGCCCATGAGAGAGAAAATTTCGTCTCATTCATTTCCGCCCCATGTTTCGTCAAAACAATCAATGCTCAAATTGAATATTTTCGGCGAAGATTCGGCGTTTGATGGATCCGCCACCGCATCTTCATTTCGATGTTGATTATCTGGGTAAGACAATTTTTGCTTTTTTTGTGGATGACTCATAGCGAAACTGCATAAGAATAGGACAACAAACTTATAATTAGTATTTTGTGGAATATTTTACACGGAAACATCGACACGAATTTGTTTTTCATGAGAATTTAAACTTCCAATGAATGCTTAAAAGGAAAGAACGGGAACAAATTGTATTTACCTTTTTTAATATCTCAAAAGCAATATTCTGTTATTTATAAGATGAAAAAGCAGCGGCAATGACAATCAAAGTTTTGACACTGACGTTTTACATCGTTGTGTCTTGTTTTCTCCTCGTTAATTGTTTCCACTCATTTCAAACACTTTCCTTTGAAACTATGAAACTAATGGCACATTCTATTTGAATAAATGTCGGTAAAAATGAAAATTACATGACAGACTTTCTTAATAAATTCATATATTCTTTATTTCTAATATTCAATCAAATACTTTTTCAGTAGTTTATTCCTTAACAGATGTAAATGTATAAAATTGGCCATAAATCACTATTTGTATCGAATTCTTAGTGAATAGTGTACTTTCAATTACATTTTGAAAGAGTAATTGAATTAATTTTTCTGTAATTTTTTACTATCTTGAATTATATAAATTGTAAAACAAAGATAAATGTCTATAGTGTAGCTTTTTCTCAAATATGAATCTGAAAAGAATTTAAATGGAATATTATGTATCATTGATGATTTAAATAAAAAATGTCTTTTCAAAAACGTGTATTCAAAAATGATGATTCCACACAATCGAATCCAATCGTTTCATTTCGATGAATCTCAAATTGGTGTCACCGTTTCTGGTCGTCCATTTAGTAGCCAAGAAGACATCGTCACGCGTATAAATTATTATTTTTCGTGCTCCGACCAACTTGGCACGCTCCTTGTTCAACATCGCCAAATTCAAAGCTTCGCCAATTAAGCCGTATGGAGGTATGATTTTGATTCTGTTCAATTGCGGTGATCGACGAATGAATGGCATAAATTCATCGATACATTTGCAATTATCAATGTAAAGACGTTCGAGTTTAATCAGAGTATTTGCTAAGATCTCCATATCCTTAGGATCCCTCAAGCCACCCCAAATCATTAATTCTCTCAGATTGGTCAATTGAGCCAAATAATAGATCTCGTCTAATTCGCGAATGTACAAGAACTCAAGACCTTTGAATGAGGCTAATGAAGTACAAATTCTTTCATCAATATGACTGCTGTAAATGTGTAGTCGCTTATAAAAGCCTTGTTCATGGAGTCGATTTAAAAGTTCCACAATATTTTCAGACGTTTGTCTCTTATATAACCGAGACAATGTATAAGGTGAAATTCCTTCGAGTTCTAATATATCCAATTTTGCTTTGGAATTTAATAATATGTCACGATTATCCCACAAAAAATCTACGGAAGTTGAAAATCTCTGTACATTTGGATTGCGTACGAAAAAATCACGTAGCTCTTCGATCTGATAGGAATCACGAGGTGTCAATTCGAAATGTTGAAGCTTTGGATATTCTTGTAATAGCCAATTAAGTTCACCATTTGTGCGGATACCGACGGATGAATTTTGAAAATGAATCTCTCTTAAATTCTTACAATATTTAAAAATCAAATCGTATATGTCACCATTCATATAACAATTGTCGCGCTGCACAACTTCCAGTTGGGGCAACAGTTGTCTCAAATGCTCAAATAGTTTGTTATCAATACCTAACCGCCTAAGGTTTATGTACTTAATTGATTCAAATTCATTGATGTGTGACTTTAAATATTTGAGTCGATAGTTATATTCAAAATTATCATTTGTTATGCTCATTTTTGTCACGAATTTATTAAAACCAGATATTTCAATAAATTTTTGTACGCCACTTTTGTCCCGATAAAACATGTAAATTCCATCTCGTTCACATTGTATTCTACATGATGAATAATAATTTTGTTTGAAATATTCGCCGGCCACTTTGTTCATTCGCTTGCATGTTTGACCGAATGAATGCAAATCTTTCACGTCCAAATATTCAAATATTTCGTCAAAACAATCGATGTTCAATTTGAATATTTTCGGAGTTGGGTGTGACAATTGCGTCTTTGTTTGTTCGTGGCCCATAGTGAAACTGCATTAGAATAGAACAACAAAATGATAAAAAATGATAATAATGAAACAAACACTTTGATTTCTCATTTACACGAATTTCTCTTTTTGGGTGAAATTTAATGGTTGCTCAAAAAGAAAGAATGAGCATAAATTATATTTACCTTTTTTAAATCGCAAAAACAATATTTTATTATTCAAAAGTAGAAAAAACAAAGGCACATAAATAGTTTTGACAGTTTAAACTGACGTTTTCCATCGTTTTCTCCTGATTTCTCCAAGTTCATCTTTTCCACTCGTTTCAAACAGTTCCCGTTGAAACTATGAAACTAATGCCACATATAATGTGAATAAATGTCGGTAAAAATGAAAATGCATTCAATAAATAAAAATATAATAATCTAATATTCAATGAAACATCCTTTTCCAGTCCATCGATACAAACAAATGGTATAAAAATAAAGAAAAAGATTTAAAATTTCAATGCTGTTTCACTTTCATTACCGTCGCTCTACGAGTAAGCATGCATTGGTGTAAGTGAGTCAACTATAGATCACCGTTTGCCGAATGATACACAGGCGCAGACCTTGTGCTATGTCATGCCATGCGAATACACATGCACGCACGCAAGCACGTTGAGGTATCAAAAGAGACAGACAATCGAAACTCATTTAGTACGTTGTTAAACGAATTGGCGATAAGTTCGTGTGTCCGTGTGCCTCGAACCGCTAAGCTCTGTGTGTGCGCTGTGCGTTTTGCTTCTTTTTAGTTTTATTTTTCTCCCAAAAAAAAAAACAACAAAATCATTTCTGAAATTATCAGAGAGATTGTCCATCAAAAAAGAAAGAGTCCGTGTTTTGTGTGCAGTAAGTGTGTTTCAAAAAAAAGAAGAAATTCTACGAATAAAAAAAGCGAAATAATTAAGTCATCGGTTTGACGTGTGTACGATAGAGCGAGAAAGAGAGATTAATTCATCATTTTATTGTTGGAATAGAATAAGTGACCGTGTACACACATTCCAGTCCGACGAGAGAACGAAATTGTTTAAATTTGAAACGATAGAAAAATTCGTGCATCATGTTAATCAAAGAATAGTAAGTATTTACGTCAAAAAATATTTAGGTCGGATATAAATTTATCGCCGATCCAGTTCAAGAGAGAGAGAAAAAAAGTAAGAAGAAGAAGAAGAGTGTGTAAGAGAGTTCAAAAAAAAAAAAACTATAAAAAGAAGGAAAAAAAATTGTTGGGATTTTGAAGTGTCAGCCGTTGCCGTCACATCGTGAAACGTATGCAATAGATACATGTGTGTCTCTGTGTGCGTACGTGTGAATAAGTATTGTTGTATGTGCTATGTGTCAGTGCTTGGTTTGATCAAAATTATGAATCATTTCTATAAAAAATCGAATGATGACAAATCATCATTTAAAAAAATATGTCCATGTGGATTTTAGCAAAACGATCACACAGCAATTTAGTGGCATCAACAAAAATATATTTTCTAAACAAAAACAATGCCAACAAATTTGTTTCGAACGAGATAGACGAAACAAAATGCTTTGAAATGTACACGGTCGATTTTTTTTTTTGTAATGCGGTGGTAGTTGTTACGATTGTCTCTATCGCACACTTTCGATTTGGTGTGCCGTTTTTTTTTTACATGAATGACTGTGTCATTCGACGGCGGCTCATTGTGTGTTTGTATGTTAAATTTGTGTGCGCGCACAATACTTGTGTCTGTCACACGTTTTGCTCTATCCATATCGAGCCGATGTTCCTATCCAAACCGTCTCTCATTATTGTTGTTGTTGTGTACTATATTTTTTTTGCTTTTTTTATTTTCTTTTGCAAATGTGCTTCAGAGCTTCGAATGTCGCGTGTGCAGTAGCTAAGAGAATAAAAACAACAACTATGAATGTGGTATACATATAGAAAAAACGGAGAAAGAGAGCGAATCGTTGAGAGTTGAGAAATCAAAATCGATTTTCTTATTTTATATATAAAAATAAACCATCGATAGAGAGAAACAAAAAAGAAATATGGTGTTAATTGTTGATCTCTAGCATTTTATTGCCCTCGATAAATCGAAATTCGATTATGCAATTTTGGTGTGCCAATTGGAAAATCCCGCATCACAACAACCCGGAACACTTTTTAATGTTTCAATTTTCAAGCATTATTCAATTTCCCATTCAACACAATTCAATTAGAACCATTTTTGCGCTCCTCTCTCTCTCTCCATCTCTGCCATTCATGTCTCTCTGTTTTTACATCACTATCGTTTAGCGTTCGGTAGCTCGGTGTCTCAGTCAAAGTTGTGCAAATTATTTCGCTGACGCGATTTCAATTAAAGCCAATATGTATTTTCTATCAACGTGTTGTATCATCGTTGTTTTTCAGGGTGAAGGTGTTCCATTAACAATATTAAAAAAAAAAAAACTCGATCGAAATATGTGTAGTTTTTTTTAATGAAATTAATGAACATGAAATTGAAAAAAGTTGTCAGGGTCGACGGTACGGCTTATTTTCAGACTAGACGGAAGAAAATGTAAGAGTGTTTGAACAAATTTTTTTCATGGTATTTGTTTCATATTCGGTTGTTTGGATTTTAATTTAATTGATATACACGTGTGTGTGTGTATCACACTCTAAACGGATCGACGTCACTGTGTCACCAACGCAACACAAAAATCAACCACTTGTCACAACATCTACTCAACTTTTTGCCACATTGCCAATTTATCGTTGAAATTGACACGTGTGTGTGAGATATTGTTTTTGCGATGCAAATTCAATTTCACCCATTTCAAAATATTAATGCAATTCAAAGTAATAAAAAAACATCTCAAGGCAATTGACGTGCAGACGTATTTGTCTCCCACTCTTTTTTTCGTCACCGTCATCGAAGCATATCATGTTTAATTATGATCTCACGCCATTCAAATTGACGTAATCAACAACACGATGCGATTTAATTGTTCACAATCATCTCCACTTCAATCGCCGACGAATTTTATTTTCGTCGAATTAATTTTAATTGAAATTCGATATTTTGAAAACATCCATTTCATTGAAAAAACTCATTTTAATCTTTTCGCGGAAAATTACAATATTTTCGTGTGGAAATGGTACTTTTAAGCTGTTTCCAATAACTAAGACGTAACGAATCGTAAATAACCGCCAGTGGAATAACCGATAGAGAAAGACCGCAAAAGACGTTATCGGATCTTACAATCGATGACAATTACGTGAATACACAACTTTAATCGTATTTAATAACAAACAATTCACACCTTAATGATGTGCGAAATAAGTGCGTAAAAAAACAACATTTTGATTCAAAAACAAACTTAAATAAAAAAGACCGCTAAAAACCAAACAGATAAGTTTGTGTTTGGTTATGATAGATTTTAAAATGATTTGATAAAATCGAGGGCTCCTTTTGGAAACCAACCACTTAGCGTTGGAATATGCAGCATTGAATGAATTTTGACCGATACCATTGAATACACACTAAAAACTCTTTCGAAAGCGACGCAATTCAATAAATGAATTTAAACAATATTTAACTTTATAAATAGACTGAATAAAATTACGATTTTCTAACACGATTCTCACAGACGCACGTAAAAAAATTGTTCAAACAAATTCCGTGAATATTGAACTTGAAATTCTGATACACTTGATCTAACTCTCTAAAAGGTAAACACATTTTTATAGAAGTCAAAATGTTGTTTATTTTCCATGTATTTTGGGCTAACATTGACGTTTGAGCCCGTTTTCTCCGAATTTGAGCAAGTTTTTGTTGCGTCATGAAAGAAAAAAAATCACGAACGGTCGAGTCAAGTTCTATGAATTTCGTCTATTTTTAGCATAAAAATCAATTTCAACCGCCACACAAAATTACTTACAATCATCAGATTTACTTCCTAAGTTTTTCTAGCTTTGTGTGTGCGTGCACAAAATTTGTGGAAAATTGCACAGAATCATGACTGAAATAATATTATGGGCTTTCGAGCCAAGGAAATGAATCGATTTGCTTAATTTTTAGCAATGTTTATGTGGCACAATAACGATTCCGTCCGCAATCAAAGTGGTTTTTATGAGCAAAGGCCGAGAGAAAAAGTGAAAGCGAAATATACATGAAGAGATACACCGACAAAAAGTGAGATTGAGCGAAAAGAAAGAGAGAGAGAGGACGGAGATAGAAAGATGGAAATTGAGAACAGCAGAAAAAAGCGAAAAGAGAGTTGGATAAAAATGACTCATAACGCGTCTAAACGAGAAAAACTTTAACCGACGACATGGAGATTCTCCGTTGCATGGAAATTAATGGAATGAAATTTGATGTTACTGAGAATAAAACGCCTATTCGCATGCAAATGTACGATTTGAACTCATCTGTCATGAAATTTAACATAAATTATCCCTTTTTAATTCAATACGACCGCGTCATGTTTCTTTCAACCGTCTCTCTCTATTTGTTCCGAACAAAAGCTTCCATTCTTCGATTTTCTTCTATATGAGTCACGCCGATATAAAGATAAAACATTGTTTTTTTTAGGTTGATCGCTGAAAATGATAAGACATAAACCTCATATATTCGTTATCGCCTATTGAATTTTGAATTACACATCGTGTTTTGAAATATGTGCCTAATTCATTGCAGCTGCGTTGTCGCAATTCAAAATTATTGGCTCAATAAAATCGGAAATGACAAGACAACCTACTAGTTCTACGCACACACCACTTAATCACAGTCTAAGATGAACGCTGCCCATTTTAACTGTAGAATAATTGACTTAAATACGTGTCGGAATGTGTTCGCATACGAATGATGTAATGTAATTAGTTGGATTTATTATTTATGATTAAATTCGAGGTTCATCGATTTATTCTCTGTAGTTCATCTTTTGGGGTCATTTTTGATTGAAATAATATTCAAGATTCTCTTTATTCTGACACAGAGACCTTTCAATTCAAAAACCACTGACGTGTTTTGAAATTCTCATTCGTTCTTTGTTGGAACATTTGGGGTTCAATTCAATCGACTCAAAAATATCTCTTTTTTTTTTCTTTTCCGCACACCTGGTGTGCGAAAGGTATTTCTACTTGTTTTATCCCTATAAAACACATATTCTCCGGACCCAAACTCGATTTTACCGCATTCTATCAGGTGGTTTAATAATTTATTAAAAACAATAAAATTCCAATACGAAATGACCCATTTACACATTGATATTCATTTGATGAGTTTCAAGTTTTTAATGCATTCTACTCGCTGTCGTTTCCACATCAATTGAATTGCATTTTATTAAATTTGCAAGCAACGTCAAGTCAACTGCGAAAAGAACATATTTTCCTTGAACGCAATTGCTAACAGTGACCGACGGAAAAAAGAAGAAGATGTTGACCCAATTGCTATGGTCCAATGAAAAACGTATTTCGGTCACTGCGAGTTGAACTTTGAGCTCGCCGAAAGTGAAAACATGCTTTTCTTCAGCACCATCTGACAAAGTTGCTGTGTTTTCAAAAGGAAGAGAGATATATACAAACAGCCACCACATAGTAACATAGCACCACAATGAGAGTACTTTATTAGAGATGCAATAAATAGAGAAATCGCAGTGCACAAACTGCAAGACATTTCGAATGCAATTTGAACATTTGTTGAATCATAAATTTTAAAATTTATTCGAGCATTAAGTAGATTTTGCTGCAAAAGTCAACGTTATGTTTGTGGTTTTCATTTGCGGTTTATTGTAGAACTTGGCACATTGTTTACACATTAAAACTTCAACCATCAACAAATTTCATTACAAACTGAGAGCTTTCAAATGTTTGCATGAACGACTCAAATTTGTTTACTTTTTTTTCCGCTGTTATACAAAAGCAACGAGTGTTCAAAGGCAAAAGTGACTTAAACGTCAATATGCACGATAAGAACATCGCTCGGTACTTATATAGTGCATGTGCGGTGCTAACAGTGTCGAACAGAGAGACAGACGGCAATGAGATGACCGTCAGTGCGATTCAATCGACTGTTTTGAACGCATTTGTAAAAAAAATGTACACAAACACAGCAATCGAGACACACCGATACAAGTAGCTCTTTGTTAAAGCATTCTGTTTGCATGACAGAGTCAAAAGAACGGCTAACGTGGGTTGTGCTTTAGCTCTTTTGTCGGTTTTTCTCTTTTCCGCATATTCTAACGGCTCGCCGAGTATATCGCGCATTGATGTAAACTGTGGCCACGTTCATTGCGACTATGTCGGCATGTAGTTGTTCTGGGCATTTAACGTTGAGCAAAGAAACGTGACACTGCGTGCGAAATTTATGCATGTATGAATTGAGTGTGCGTCAGTTGCATATACACGTAAGTTTTGCACGCATCACCATACTTTGATGAGTGAATCACACAAATTTGACGTCAAATGTGAAAAACTATGCAATATCTCAGTCAAAAGTGCTATTTGCAATCATAAACTTTTGTGTAAATCGATATCATGCTGCAAGTTTCTTCCAAAAATAGAAACCGCTATTCGAAGGTGATTTTTTTTCTACTGAGCAAGTTTGCCAAAAACCACAACTGGCACACCCTTCTTCATCTTCAAACTCGGAACTTGTTTTTTGTATTATTTTTTTTGTAATTTTACCATCAGATTTCCATTGAAATGTACTAATCATTTTTTTTCCCTTTTCTCCTTGTAGTCGTGTAACTTTGCCAATAACCGTTGAAGAGGTAAGTCATAACTTTTCAAACTGGACTGTCAGCTGTTTCCGTGTGTCGTTGTAATTACATTGCATTGCTCTGTATATTTGCTGCATTGATTGTAATTTTATTGATAAATGTTTCAACATTGTAATCGAATCCGCATTCCATGTGATTTAAATTGTTTGATGTTAGTAATCAACTCGATCAATTATTTAAATTGATGTTTACGTTGTCATTGAATGCGGGTTTGAATGAAACACACGAGAAATAGGCGGCACGAATGTCATTAACATTATTTGGTACACCGATTTTTATCGAATTATCGTTTGTCTCGTTTCAGTATCAAGTAGCTCAATTGTTTTCGGTGGCAGAGGTGTCGAAAAATGAAACTGGCGGCGGTGAAGGCATCGAAGTATTAAAAAACGAACCATTCAAAGATCATCCACTTCTCAATGGCAAATACTGTTCGGGACAATACACTTATAAAATATACCATTTGGCATCCAAAGTGCCCGGATACATTCGCCTATTGGCACCAAAAGGTTCATTAGAAATACATGAAGAGGCATGGAATGCATACCCATACTGTCGAACAGTCATAACCGTATGTTTTGAAATTATCATTGACTTTTTGCCTTCTCGATTTTTCGTTTTGCTTTTCGTTCGTCGACTTATGGCTGGCATTGGAATTTTAAATGATGCTACCAAGACAAGTGTTTATGCTATTTATTGAAGATTTTTTCAATTTTTTTTACATATTTTATTGAGTTTTACTTTTCGGCACACCCGGTGCAGTTTATAACATGGATCCGGTCAGTTCTCTTTTACACCAATTTTTTAAACACAGTGATTAAATAAATTATTGGCATTTTTTTTTTAAATTGTTCAATAATTCTTTTCAAAAAATTGTTCAATATTTAAAAAAAAAATGTTCAATAATTTTTTTTAAAAAATTGTTTAATAATTTTTTCACCGTAAAAAAAATTAAAATTTTAAATTCCAATGCCACAAATTTTTGTCGAAAATTTTAATCAATTTTTTCCTATAATTTTCAAAAAAAAAATTAACGAATTTTGTTACAAAAAAAAAACTAGAATCCAAAGTTTATGAAAAAAGATTTCATGGTGGTGATTGAAACACTACATGTGCCGGATAGCGGTGAAAGCTCAAACGTAAGTGTCGACTCGAACAAGTCATTAATATTATTCTTTTTCTTCTTCTTTCTTCCCTTTTCTTTATCTCTCGTATCGTTGTTGCAACCCTCGGTGTATAAAAAACTGGTGTTTGGTGTTTGTTTCTGCTTATGTCGTCCAATCGAATACATTTTTATTTGTGAAAAATACCAAACGACTCAAAATAAAATGGGTGTTGGATATTTCTGTGTTTTGAAAAAATTAAATAATATTCCATGGTATCATCGTCGTTGCCGTAAATAATTGATATATAGAATCCGGGATATATGAAAGAAAATTTTGTTATTTGTATTGAATCGTTACACATCGCTGATGTTGGCAATCAAACGAATGTAAGTGCCGTCAGGTGTGAGAGTGTTGCTGTAGCATGCTGTAGTTTGTATGGCCTATGTCCATCTCACCTATCACGTGAAAACCAAATTATTTGACGTGAATTGTTTGCACATTAAATCCCCTCGCTCCTTTGTACAAAATTAGCAAAATTAGATTAGATTGCATGACTGTTGAAATTGACCAGCACTTATAAATGGGTATAAAAAGAACAAGGCTAACACGTAAAAATAAACTAAATGTCAATAAAATCTAGATCTTGTTTTTGCTTGTTCTTTTTAGACTAACATTGTTAATTCACTGCATTGTCCCGAAAATTGGCACCGAATTGCTGCAGAGAAATTTGTTGAGAAAAAATCTAATCATATTCTTGTGGTGTTTTTAGGTGCACGAGTTACCTGCTGACAAGCTGAAAAACCGAGAAGTTGTTCCAATTGATATTGCCAACGATACAGTTGCTACAAGTGACTACAAACCAGACGAAGATCCAGCCAAGTAAGTCAAACATGTTCGGGATGAAAGTAATTGTATTTACTATGTCGATGTTTTTTGTTGAATTTTCCAAATAGGTTTAAATCAGAGAAGACTGGTCGTGGACCATTGGTTGGACCCGACTGGAAGAAAAATGTAACGCCTGTGATGACATGCTACAAATTGGTCACTTGTGAATTCAAATGGTTCGGTTTGCAGTCGCGAGTAGAGAATTTTATTCAAAAAACTGAACGGAGGCTATTTACGGTATTTCATCGGTGAGCATCACTCTTTTTGACTTTTTTAGGAAACAGAGACACTTTTTTCATGAAAAAAATGGAAAGGTGGTAATTGGTGGTGTTTTTGATGGAAATGTTTTTATTCATTTAATCCGGTCAAATTCATGGCTACCAGAGCTGTTATAAGCACTGCGGAAGTTCGGAAACTTTTCTTTTCTGCGGTGCCGATAGCAGCTTATATTACTCTAAATTCCAAAATGGTTCTTATCGCTACTTGAAAAAAGTGTATCTGGCAAATAAAAGAGCAAAATGTTAACGTTCTTCAAAAAGAACTCCTCATTTATTTTCGAAATTCCAACTTTTTGCCAAAAAAATCTAATTGACATGTATCTTTTAATTTAAAACAGTCAACTGTTCTGTTGGATAGACCGTTGGTATGGTTTGACCATGGAGGATATTCGTGCTCTGGAAGAAAAAACCAAAGAGGAATTGGATCAAAAGCGTCAAGTTGGTGAAGTGCGTGGAATGCGTGCCGAAAATGACTAAGCAACCATCCCTCTCGCCCGTATTCACAATTTGTCTGATGTGTGTTTGTTCCAGCAGCGAGCAAAACTCCAACCAACAAAATCAACATCATTGAAAATTTAAAACAAATAAATTGCAAATTCTATAAATAATTTAAAGTTGATGAAACAAAAAAAAATGAAAGAAAGAAAGAAACCATTGAAGTAAAAAATGCAATTCAAATATGAATTGTGGAAAATAAAACGAAATGGAACCGAAAATTTGTTGTAAATTATAAATTAAAGATAGTCATTTCGAAGAAGTCTTAAAAATTTAGGTTTGGTGTGAGAACACACACACACATATGAAAACAGCTAATACAGACAAAACCCAACAAAAAAAAACAACACTTTGGCAATAAAACTCTTAAGCAGACAACTAAAAATTCTTGTTAAATAAAAAAAAAACCAAACGCTAGTGAGATAGAGGAAAAATCAATTAATATATATGCAAACAAAAAAATAGGAAGAAACTGAGGTTAAGGGAATAAAACGATTTTTATCATCGATCTCGCATCGAACTGGGCAGAAGACAGCTTGTAGTTCGATGTCGGCTGGTATTATTAAGTTCAATAGAATAAACATGTCCCGTTTGGACACTCAACAATTGTACAACATTTTGGTTCTGTTTCTCGGTGGTTGCATATATATATAGAACAACACCACCGTCTACAACGATTCAGTTCTCACACATATTTTCAGTTCATACCTATGAAACTCTGTAATAGCCCTCTGTTTGTGGAATTTGCAAATTCTAGCGCCACCATTCACATAAACATGCTAAACGGTGATATAATTTAATTCGACACAAATCGATGTAGTTGCCTCGTGGATGTCGAACTTTGAATCGATTTTTTTAAAAACATTCTTCAGTGATACCTGATAAATCGAACGGTTCGAATATTTTTTTGGGGAGGTGTTTTCCCTCCGAAGGGATTCCCTTTAAGGGAAGCAAGCAAATTTTCTTTGAGATGATAAAAAAGTCGACCTTTGCCTAGACGTAGATAAGTACTGATAAAATTTATTCATACTTTCACTTGTCTTGACTGCCTTTTGTCCAAAAAAAACTATTTTGCCTGAATTTTTTTCTAAGTTGGCAAATCGACCGACTTTTCATCACCTCAAAGTGTATCGCGTCCAAATTTTGAACTTCAAAATACGCCTATTGCAAAGAGAGAGTCTCTTCACCTGTTGTATTTTGAACAACACCTTCCATGACTAACTACAACGATCCGTGCCGAGAAACAAAAAAACGTAGAAAAAAATGATAAAAACAATGAAATTAGATAAAATAAAATGAGAAAGAAATTGTAAGCAAAATTGCGAGTAGGTCAGCGAAAGAAAAAAATAGGTACGTAGTTGTTTTATTTGGGGTAGCTCCAAAAATCTTGCATCAAATAGAATGAGCAAACGGGCAAATGGTCCACAAGTCTATTCCAACATTCAAATCAATTTTTGATCATTTTAAAATTGTCTCCCTTTTCTGAATTTTCTTTTGCCACTTTTAAAATTTCATTTTCAAACGTAAATATATTTACTGATAAACGAGAGCACATTTGATATAATGTGTGATATTATCGAATAGTGATGAAACACATTTTAAAAAAAAATGAAATAAAAATGATTCTAAAGAAACGGGTAGCAATAAATCAAAGCTGAAAATTTGCTGATAAATAATAATAATTTTAAGATTTATTGGTCGTGGGTGAGTCTATCGCCGCTTTTTTCCGATACGTATTTAAATTGTCATCAATTTTTTAGCTCTGATTTAAAATGCCGGCACTTTGATTTGGCTATCTCACAAGGCACTGGTGGGATGTTGTTGGCTGGTGCTTGAACGGCAAGGTTCCAAATTTTTTACGGTCAATTTTGATGTTCATAAGATGGCTTTTTGTATGAAAGTCATGATTGAATAAATCTGTAAAGGGCAGAGGTGCTATCGGCACCGCGCAGGTGTGGGTATTTTTCTATCTTGTAAGTGATGGTATTTCTGATAATCAGGTGCGGCAATTGAAAAAATTAAGTGGGATAAACTCATTAGTACCTGCACCACCGATGTCAGATATACCACTGCAGTGCCTAAAACAGCTCTGATAAAGGAATCTCTGGCTCGGTCTGGATGGAGTCAATTCAATGGACTATTATAACTGAGCAACAATACCGTATACGTGCCCACCCGCTTCTGTTCATCGGCAGCGCTGTCACAGATAGCAAAACCAAAGATCTGCGACATACTGACATTGACCCAAAGCCAAACACAACACAAAAGATTAAAAAAAAATCACAGCCAAGGTAGAAAAGTGGCTTCTTCCAATTTGATTTAATTCATGCCTGAATTGAAACTACAGCAATTTAACGCCTAATGATGGTTTTGAACCAGAGATCAATATTTAAAAAACACACACAAACAAACACATTCTTTGTCATTAATATACTAAAATGCAACATTGTTCTTCACAATCAAACAAAACTCTGAATGTCCATTTTTGAATAAGCATACAAAGATCATCGCATCATTTTTATTTTTTAAACTAGACTATCTCGGTTTAAATCAATTTTTCCCCTTGTAAGGGTACATTTTTTGATCGAACAATTTTGATGGTGAATAAAATGAAATAAAAAAAAAATACAAATTAAAAAAAACATAAATTGCTCATTCAAGTCGATTGCAAATTGGATCTGATCTCATTTCAATCGGACATCTAAGATAAATCAAATTTTTTCAAATTAATTGCATGTTACTTCTGTGTTGATTAAATGAAGAAAAAAATGCTTTTATTCAATTTCGTTGTTGTTAGAGAGCGTTTATCTCTGCCGTACGAGTACTTTCCAATTCATTTGCAATAAACCACCGTTTCTGTTTCCACGTCATTCTCTTGCTACATTGCTTGGTTATTATTGTAAATTGAACTATCTTTCTGTTAGCATTTGTAGGTTTTTTTTCTTTGTTCATTTTATTTGACATATAATGTAAATAAAATAAAAATGCAATTGAATCGAATTCTTTAAAACAACAAATAGACAAAAATTGAAACGGAAAAAATCGAGAGAAAAAAACCACCGCATTTTGCGCATTAATATACATTGTTTATTGCATTAATCTTGTTTGTTATTTGACATTTTGGCTTTGAAATTTCATTCAAAATTTATGGAAAAAAAATTTAATAAAAAAAATATATTGAAAAAAATTCGATCGGTGAATGGATTTGGTCTGACTTTCTTGACAAACGAAGAATGACGATTGATTGAAACCACAAACAACAACATTTTAGTAAAATCATTATCTATTATATAAATTTGTTCAAATTGTATTATAATTGAATGGATGGATACATAATATATTATGAAATGCAAAAAACTGATGAAACAAAGCGTTATTTTTTTTCACATTATTTATTATGGATTTTTTTTCTGATCAAAGTGTATGTAATTTAATGGATATATATTTGGATTTTAATCGGCAGATTAGATAATATAAAAGTCCTCATTCTTGGACTTATATTTAAAATTATATTTTGATTGTATACCCATCAAGGTTTGGCAAAAAAATGTTTTTATAAAAAAAAAAAAAAATTATGTTATTTATCATTCAAATTAGTTGCTGACAACTTCTTGTTAACCCAGTCAGGTGACAAAGCTGTCGAATCATTCGGTAGTTCCGTAATTTTGGCGAAAAATATCGTTACTTAAGTTATTTAAAGAAAATTTTAATTGACAACCTTGACAAGGTCAGTAGATAGAGTTGGTTAGGATTTACATATGTGTTGATTGAAGCCAAGAAAGATACATTTATTGATTTTGTTTTGACTTTGTGATTTTTGTTTTTTGAAGACGGAAATAAAACCTGAAGTGTTTTATGAACGAAATGAATTTAAAGGTTTTGAATGAATATTACGTTACAATGTTTGACGGTGAACGCTTTTCATGTGGTGTTTTACACTACCTTGCACTGCAAATCGTGCATCGCATAGTTTGCATGGAAATGGTTTTTCACCCGTATGATGGCTTCGCATGTGAAGCTTTAAGTGACGTGAATCTGTCTTTAAATCTTTACACACGTAGCACTGATTCAGGCGACGATTACAACGTTCTTCGTGTGCTTTCTTATCGCCTTCTTGTACAAATGGTCGATAGCACTTCTTGACAGTTGCTTGACGTGAGTTCGCAAATGAATGTTGAGATTATATTTGATTGCAAATGCTCTGGAACACACATGGCATTCGAATGGCTTAACGCCACTATGGATTCGCATGTGTTGCTTTAGATTTGACATGTCCCGAATGGCTGTTCCACATAGGTAGCATGCGTACTGGTGAACTTTGCATCCATTTTCATGGTTGATCTTTACAGCTTCTTCTGTAAATCCTCTACGACACTTTGAACAATTGAACGGAAATTTTAGACTATGGATTTTCTTGTGCTTTTTCAAATTGCTTTTGTCTGCAAAAGCCAAGGCACATATTTCGCATTCAAAAGGCTTCTCGCCAGTGTGGGTTCGAATATGTATTGTGAGATGTGATTTGTGTGATGAAGCATAATCACACAAATGACATTTGTGTTTCTTCTGTCCACTTGCCACTAGTTTTTTCGATATTTTCCCGTTGCGATCTCTTTTTGTGCCTTTGTTCTTCTTGCCATCGCCTTTTCGTTTACGATTTGCTCCCTTGCTGTTCAACTTTGGTCTTGGTCCGCTTGAGTCTTTACCAACTAATTCATCTCTATCTTCTTCTATTTCGTCTTTTTCCGTCAAGCATTCGTCTTCGCATTTGATTTCCTTCTTCACAGGTTCGACTTCGCTGTCACTTTCGCTCTCTGATTTGATTGAGGCGTTAGCTTCGACTGGTGACGGTGGTAGTGGATAATGAAGCATTTCGATGCCATCCGTGGGTTCTTCTTTGACCACAACTTCTTGCTTCACAGTAACCTTTCTGGCTGATCGTTTGCATTTACATTTGCGTTTCATCTTTCCACAGCAAGTTCCTTCGCTCTGATATGGATTCATTGTGTCTAACCAAGACAAATCAGAAAGACAGAGAAAAAAATCAGTTACTAGCGATGTGTGTGCTACACAACTAATACACAAGCATCAAAAATGTCAAAGTGTTGCGAAACAAAGGTTATGAGATGACGTCATCGAATTTCTGAGAAATATGGACCACACTGCATGATTAATCAAGTTTGATTTTCAAATTCAACCACAAATGTAGGATAGGAAAATCACCAAAACTTGATGAATTTCCTGAAAAAAAAGAACTATTATCCAATTTTTATTGCACAAAATCTGCAGCAAACTCATTTTATATCAAAACTTTCCACAAATAAAATAAAATCATAGCGCATGATTTCTCCACTAAATTCAAGATAGATTTTCAACAAATTTGATTATCTGAATGAATTGAATAGCCAATATTTCGAAAGCTCACCTTTTAATTTGGTTTGTGCACAAATAAAATTCTAATACTGTCTGTACAAAACGTGTATCTTCCACCAATGGCCGTCTGCTTGTGAGCGTCTCTCACTGTGTGTAATAGTGAATCAGCGTAATCCACGGACTCGGTGAAAAATGGCGCGTAGAGCTGCAATTGTGTTGGTGATTCAAAGAACCACGATGAAGTTGATCACATTCAGTTGGCGTGTTGACAGTCATACAAATTGAAAACACGGTTGGTTCAAGAATAACAATTGATCCTTTCTTCTCATTTTATCTATTTATTCAGACGTTGGCATAAAAATTCGAATTCCAATGAATTATCAAAAAGAGTAATGACCCATTAATAATAAAGAATTAAATAATGATTGCTTTTCGGTGATTTATTTTCGCTTTTTTTCTTCAATTTAATCGAGAGAACATTGAATGCAAAAAACTGGACTGATTTTTTGAATTCACTGTTTTTATTTCATTTTTTGATTTGATTGATTTGAATAACTATAGACAGAAAAGCGAAGCACGTAAAACAGACAGAATGAGCTAAAATTCAGTTCCAAATGCTGTCCTCAAATGTATGCTTCTTTTGAATTCATAAGATTAACTTTGCTGCAATGTTTTCGAAAAATCTGTTTTTATTAAACAAATATTTACCTCCCCCTAAAGATTTCAAACAGCGAATAAAAGATTCTTTATATCATCACCAACAAATGCAAAGAAAAACTCCGAATTTTTTACAATTCTTATCAAATTTCATTGCACTTGATTTATGTTCCAAATTATGTGAATTGATAATAATATAAAAATAAATGTTTACTAAAAATTAATCTCCCCTATCTCTGTCGTTTCTACTGAAGTGAATCCATAATTTGTTCATAACTTTTTCCTTTGGTTTCCGGCATATTAAAGTGAAGATAAAGTTCCGAACATAAGCAAACAGCGGCAAATAGAAACAACGTTCCATGAAATCCGAGCACATCGCTTAAAAGTGGCAAGCATTTAACTATGATGAATGTAAAACAGCACATAAGTGCCGTACAAAATGTAACACCAAAATCTTTCACATTTTCCGGCATTATTTCAGCAATAATCAAGAATGGCAGAGAGGCAATTCCCCATGACGCAATGAAAATAACGAATGAGAATGCCACAATTGGAATCCAATTAACTGATTCAACATGATATTGCCATGATTTCAGCATCATGTATACTCCCAATACGACCAATCCCACCGCCATCCCGACCGCCGACACGGCAAATAAGAACTAAAAACGAAAAAAAATGCATTCAGAACAATGATTTGTGCGAAAAACAAATGTTTACCTTTCTTCCTGCGCGGTCGACGAATAAAGATGCCATGTATGAACCGACAATTTGAACAATCGCAACGATGATTGCCGATATGTTAGGCGGCAGAGTTGAATCGGCTTCTTTGAAAATAAGTCCGGTGTAATTTGTCATTGCGAAGAAACCACTGAATTGATTCAATATAACAAGAACAATTCCGATTGTAATTGCTTTACGCGCTGGATTCTCTGACAAATCAGACAAAATGAATGAGTTGCCATGGTTTTGGTCAGATTTGGTGTCGCCGACTGAATTTTTCAATTTAGCCATTTCCAACTGAAGCAACTGTGACTCCTCATAATTCTCACGAATGCCGCGATAAAAACGAATCGAATCTTCGGCCGCCTGCAAAGAAACATACATTTGATCAATCACAATAGGCACTAATGATCATTAATGATTTGTTGTTGTTGATGTAGAAAAAGCACGTTCGCGTCTCTCCGGCTACCAGAGCTGAACATAGAACGCAACATACGTACGACCACATTGCGCAATCGTGAGCAGCTCTCCGTCACTTTTATGTTCTACGCTCGAGTTGCGTGCAATTATGCCGCTTGCTACTCACCGATAAATTGCCTTGTTTCGCAAGAAATGTGGGTGACTCGGGGAAAAAATAGAACAAAACAATGTAAACAATCATTAAAACAATTGCAACTTTTGGAGACGTATAAAAGTCACAGTAGTTTCCAATAACGAAAGCCAATAAAATGCCAAAATTGGCACTTAAAATAAATGTTGAGCCGAGAAAACCGCGAACTCTGTGAAACGAAATGAGGTTATAAATCATCGAGTCATCATCATAAATCTATAATTAAAATGTGTATTCTACCGATCGCTTGCGATTTCGGAGAGAAATAATGGCACAATTACAAAAACTCCACCGCCAACGACTCCGATCAGTGTTCTAGCTGCGTGCAAATAGTAAATATTTTGTGCAAACCAAATCAGCAACCAACTTATCTGTCGAATCAAAGAAAATCGATAAATTCGTGTTAAATGTGTTCGCACAATGGCTCAGATGCTTACGATGGTCGGAATGGAGAGTAGAAGCAGTGGCATTTTGCGTCCGAATTTATTGATTATAAAACCAAAAAATAGATTGCCAAACAATGCACCAACACCAAGTAGCGATGCAATCCATGATGCACTTTCTAATGTTATTTTACCGGATGGCAATGGTGATTCGTCCGATATTAAAAGTAAGATGTTTGGTGATGGCCAACCGAGGGTAATTCCATAGCTTACTGTCAACAAATTCACTGAACAAAACGGAATAACCCACATGGTTAATAATGAAATTTAACAAATTCAATTGATTCACTGAAAATTACCCACAAATGCAGCAAAATACTGAAATTTCACACTCGCTTCTTGCATATTCGCTACTTTTTATCTACAATCTGAAGATTGTTCTTTTCCACAGACACTACGTCAAACCGGTTGTTTGCTATTCAACGGTGAAGAGAACAAATATCAAATGGTGAAGAGAACAAATGATGTATGTTCGGTGTGCGATCTTTTGCGCGACTATTTTTGTTGAAAGAAGAATACAATAAGGTATGCTGGTCAATCGTGTTTTACAGTCGTACTTTTCGATGCTGTATCAAACAGGTTTACTTCGTTTGCGGATTTATAATTATAAACAATTGCGATTTATGTAACCAAATTGTGATGTTTGTATTGGCAGAACATAAATTATAATTGTAACTAAAATGTGAAAAGGCTCATGTAGACTAAACGAAAATATGGCATTTTACTCATTGAACACAATAACAATTCCACGATTCAGAAACAATATAAACAGCAATTCTATGATATTAATTCACAATCGTGCATTTTTTAAAAAGCAAAATCTGATCGCATATGAAATGAAGTTATGTAAATATTTATGGAAAAATATTCACTCATCAATATTCACAAGATGCTAGCACGATAGTACATACATGCAAGCGCGTCCGCGTACAGCGGCGTTGAACATACATTCGAAGAATTTTTTGAAGATTACTACTAGATCCATTTATTGGAGACTCATTCACACCTGTATGCACTCAATAAAATAGCTCGTCTACTTTTTACACAGCTGATTTTTTTGATTGAGGTGATGATATCATGTTGTTGGCTTGGTTTGCATTTTGAACTTATTTTATGTGGAAATTGAAGTGCAGCAAAAGCGCACGTTATTTTCAATTGAAACGTTTAAATTTATGGGCTGTAAATACGACAATGAATGTGTCTATAAAATAAACATTCATAGCAATTAAGCCTCATTATGAGTGCAGTGCCGGTATTCTGAAGAGCATTTGAATTGATTTTTGAAATGAAATTCTTTTAAGCAAAACAATTTACCTTTTTAAACCTATACCTTAACGGTCAGAAGTTAGAAGACAATCGTTAAGTCAATATAAAATCCGAAAAGAACCAATTTCGATAAATTTCATTACATTTCCATTATCCATCTGAATCCGTTCAATTACCGTGTTCTATTTGATAAGTGTACAATGTACATGCGGGCATACAATTGCATTTATCACGAAACATTTCGCCCTTTTTGGTAGTAAAAAGTTGCCTTTGAGCTAATTTTGGACAATTTGTTAATAATCCACTACATATATGCGTGCTTTTATCCCCTGCAAAGTCAAACAATTCTTCATATCAATTTCTTACTGAATGTCAGATAAATTCGAAATCGAATTGTTACATCAATTTTCTCCCTTGTGGTCTTCGCTACTGGGCAAAAAGTGATCGTTGGAAATGGAATTGACGAAATGTCTGCTGTTCCATCGATATTCAACTTAAATGGATCCTCATTCCACTCCGTCCACTGATACCAATGATCCAGCAAAATCTGTGTTGGATTTAACGACATTTCTGATTAATATCTAACAATAATGAAATTTAATAATCAAATCAAAGAGGGAATCTCACATATTACTCCAGTGCATCCGTTGTGTAAAGTATTTCAAGCCGTGAATGTTTGAATTTTGCCAAAATTCCTTGAAAAATATCTTCAACACGCAAACAAACTGATGAATGCTTTCAACTGATCACAAAAAATATCGAATTTAAAAATATTGATTTTCATTGGCACCAATTTTCTAACTTACGGGATTCAAATGCTGAATTCTCGTTTTAAGTCCATTCAGTTGATTCAATAGACAATTCCTTGAAAATGAAAAAAGTACACAAATTTTCACTCTAACTCCATTTAGTTGGTCCCTTATACATATCGCCATAAATACACAAAGTTGATGAATCACTTTCGACCACGTTTTATAGTGGAAAATAAACAGAAATTTGTTAATTCCATTCATTTTTTTTACTTTTCCGCACACACCTAGTGTGTAAGGGGATAGTATTTTCAAATTAAATCCAATAAATTGAGTGACTCACAGGATTAATGTTTTATATCTTCGCTCTGAACCAATTAAGTCGTTTCATTTCAATATAATATGTTTATATTAAAAATATTTTCTAAATATGAGTTGTAACAATTGGTCAAACTGAAGTGGACTAACTAATCTATGGCAATTCAACTAATAAATATGGAACTGTATTTGGATTTTTACACAGCAATGAAACGACAATAACAATAACACATATTTTTACAGTCAAAATTTTGATGTCAAATGGTGTCGACATTGGTGACGGTATTTCGAAACAGACTGTGTAATCCATATTCATCGTATATGA